GGCAAGGAAGGAGATAGCCATGGCGGCTGGGCTAGGGTTTGCTTGGCTTTTGGTTTGGGAGGGGCAAGGAAGGAGATAGCCATGGCGGCTGGGCTAGGGTTTGCTTGGCTTTTGGTTTGGGAGGGGCAAGGAAGGAGATAGCCATGGCGGCTGGGCTAGGGTTTGCTTGGCTTTTGGTTTGGGAGGGGCAAGGAAGGAGATAGGCTCGGCCTCTGCCTCTGGTTTGGGAGGGACTTGGCTTTTGGTTGCTACTTGCGGCCGAGTACGTCAACGCGTCATCTCCAGGTGGGGTAGGTCGTCAGGGACTAGTCACGTCTTTTTTTTCTTCCCTTTTTTCTTTTACTAGATTTTTTTTGAGAATATTTTACTAGATTTTTACTAGATTAGAGACATCTCGCACCTCCTGGAATTCAGCAAAAATTCGGCCGTGTTGCAAACCAAGCCCAATAACACCTCTACAACACGTCTCGTCGTGTAAAAAAAACACTTTCTTTTTATTTTATATATGTATATAAATAAACTACTACTCCTATATATATATATATATATATATATATATATATATATATATATAGTAAAACAAATAAACTTCTACTGCTGTTGTCATTATGATTTATTTACACCTCTACACAAACAGACGCTGGTATTTTGCATAGGATTTTTCTATCTTTTCAGTCATGTATGGTCTGTGCTTACTTACATGCCTTGTAACTTGATCATTATTCTATATAAATGAGACACGTATTACCATGAAAAAAAAACCATACACCGTACCGTATGCATGCGAGAGGACAGCCACGCATTTTTCGATACTTCCTCATTGTCAAGGACAAGCCGACCGCGCAGCCGGCAGGGGCGCATGGACGCGCCCTCAATCAAGAAGACACGGGGTCGTCTCCTCCACTACCTCGGAGGAGGCGGCTACGACGGTCGTCATATCCATGGCGGAGCGCACGGCGAGCTCTGCGTTTGTGAAGAGCGATGTGGTGCCGGACTAGGTCACCGCAGAGATGACCACTAGGCACCGCCGCCACCTTGACGGCGAGGAGTCGTCGCTTAGCGACTACTCCGCCAACACCAGTCCCGGCAAGGCCACCGTCAGGCAACGTCGGCAGTGGTGCGGATGATTATGCTGGCACACGGCGAGGTGCCATGGACGGCACACGTCGGCAGTGGTGCGGATGATTGTGCTGGCGCACGGCAAGGTGCCATGGACGGCACGGAAGCGAGCACGATCGTCAAAGGGCGGAAGGCGGGCGATGATCCGTCCTAGGAGCTCCGGCAGGAGGTCGGCCCACTGATGAGAAGAAGGCCGCAAAGTCGCCGCCATGGATCGAGTCGATCTACTCTTGTGCCGGTGCTAGTGCAGAGATAAAAGCTGCGCTGTACGTGTACGGAAGAGGGAAAGGTAATCAGACTCGACACCGGAAACGATCGGCAAAGAGATCTCATCTGTGAAGGAACAAGGAAGACCGTACCACGTCGATATGGATAGCACACGATTGCAAGATGGCTTCCACCGGGTCTCAAGTACTCGATAGATGGCGTATGTTTGAGTGTCCAAAATTTGAAGAGAGAAAAACGCAATAGATTCATTGAGCGGGACAAAAAAGAATCCTAGGAGTACAATTTATTTCTTTCAAAAATCTGCAAGCGACTAACAGAATCAGGAGAGTAATACATGACGTAAAAATCATACTAGTAGGGGACTCCGATTTTCTAAAGGGCCCCGCGTCGTCCTCCCCAGGGCGACTCGGGCGGCGGCGCATCTCGCCACCACAGCGGCCGCCGCCCCTGCTTCCCCCCTCCTCGCCGCCGCCCGTTAGCCTCCGCCGGGCAAAGCCCCGCGCGGATCCGGCGGCGGCGGGGCTCTGGCGCGCCGGAGCGGCCTGGCTGCGAGCGGGGACTCGTGCGGCAACGGCGGCACGACGCTCCTCCGCGCGCGCCGTTCGTGCTCCGTGGCGGTGGGGGGGCGGCAGTGCTTGCGGCGGGGGGTGAGCGTCCCGTGCTCCGGCCATCTTTGGCCCGCGCGATGCGCTTCGCCTCCCAATCCGGCGGGTTGGGCCGCTGCCTGCGGTGCCTCACGGCGTTCGTGGCGGCTGGTCATTCCCCCGGCCGTGAGGGCGGCGTGGGGCTGCGGCGGAGCCATCTGCCTCGGCTTGGACGGCCGCGGCGGGCCTGGGCGTGTGATGTCTTCTGCGACGGATCTGCCGATTCCTGCTCTCTCCGGTGAGCTGGACCTCGGGATGGGTGTGGTGAGTGCGCTGGGCTTCTACGCACGAGGTGTGCGGCGGACTCGGCGTGATGCAGGTGCAGCTCTCGCTGCCTCTTAGATTGAGCTCTGCTCGCTCTCCCGATCTGGAGGCTTCGCATGGTGCGGCGGCCTCTGTTCAGTGGTCAGGCTGCGAGTGCTCTTGCTGGTGTGTTGGTTTGGCTAGCAGGCTGCAGGTTGGGGGTCGTGACACTGCCGGCGTAAAGCCGGGCTCCGGTTTTGGTTGGAGCCAACGACGGCGGTGCCTGTGGGCGATGTATCCTTGCTGAAGGCGTCGTGCTGCTGGTGTTCGTCTTCCCTCCTAAATTGCTCCGGAGGAAACTTTGGGTCTTGGGTCTCCCGGATCGGGCGATGGTGGCGCTCAACGTCACACTCCCACTTGGGGCTTCGTCTTTGAGCTTGCCTTGGCTAGGGTGACCAGTGGCTTGAGGTGGTCTCGTTGGCGGTCCGTATGGGCGTTAGCAGTGGAGAGGTGGTGCTCTGTCTTCGTGATCTTAGCTCGGCCATGCCTTTGGCCGCGTTGAGGTGTTTGTGTTGGCGGTTGGATGGTGGTGGTGCGGCCGGGTTGGGGTCGACGGTGGTTTGAGCTCTTCTTCGGGGGTGTTCTTCTCGTGTTCTTGCTCCTGCACTCCTGAGTGTGTTCTCTGCTAGGTGATGCCAAGCGACAGTGACGGTGGCGCACAGGTGCCGTGGCGCTGTCTCGGCCTCGCGTGACCTTTCGAATGTGCCCCACGGCACAGGTGGTGTTGCGGCGTTGTGCAGTCTCGGATGCGCGGAGCCTTTCGATTGCGTCGGCGGTGCAGTGTCATGGTCTTGTTTGCTTGGCGATGCTTACTTCGCCTGTGGCACATAGGCGCCGTGGCGTCGTCTCGGCCTCGTGTGACCTTTTGAATGCACCCCCGGCACAGGTGGTGTTGTGGCGTTGTGCACTCTCGGATGCGTGAAGCCTTTCGATTGCGTCAATGGTGCAGTGTCTTGGCTTGGTCGGCTGGCCAATGCCGTTCGATCACATTGGTGGTGCTTTGTGTTGTGCTGGGATGTGTCTTCCCTCTTTGTTCTCCCCTGTTTGTATGTTTGGAGTATTCTGTTTTTGCTTTATCTCTTCTTCCGTGTCCCCCTGTAAGTCTGGTTCATTTGAACCCATCTTGCAAAAAGGCTGCAAAGCCTTATAGGCAAATGAATATAATTCAGGTGGTGGAGGGGCTCCCCCTCCTCCCCCGGTGAAAATTCAAAAAAAAAAATCATACTAGTATATACACGAGCGAGTTTGGCATGTACTAAGAACTTAAACCACTATATCTGGAGGAGAAAACCACATCGATTTCCAGTCTAGGAACTCCGGTAAGGTTGTGGCCCTCGTGATGGTGACGTCGTGTTCATCAAGGAAGTAGTAGTCAAATTCTTCAGATGCCTCCTCACAGCCATGAATCGATTTTGAGAAGACATCACCGATGAAGAGCGTGCATGTTGTAACAGCCGGCACCCACGAGCCCACCTGCAGATTTGCCTCTAGGACGTCAGCGTCAGAATCATCATCAACCTCATTATCGGTTATGAACTCGTGACCGAGCCTCGTGGAATGGTTTCGTATAAAACGCCGGCGCCTTATCATGAGTAGCTTGCCGCCTGACTCAAGGAGATATCTTTCAGTTGCGGTGTAATCCATGAATTTGTTCTCCTCGACGTCATCGGGATTCGGGCAATACCCATCCAGATCTTTGTCCTCAAGGTTGTTTTCTACTTCATTTTCATCGTCGGATTCCTCGTCGCTCATGCTTTCCGTATCTTCGTCATCATCCTCGATACTTGATGTCTCGCTGCTTTCCATATCAGCTGCATCATCATCATCATCACTCGATGTCTCTTTGTAATCCGATGCTTCTTCACCCCCAAGACTCGATGCCTCGCTCGGCTCCACCACTTCATCATCCTCGCTGCCCGACATTTGTGATTCGTTTTCATCGTCCTCCTGCTCGCCCCCCTCGTCGTGACCTAGGAAGTGTTTGATAACATATTTAGCACTTCTAACCATTGGACATCCATCTTCTCTCTGACCAATTTCTAACTCGATAAGTTGTTCATCCGAGGTGACCCCATAGAGACTGCCCTCAAGGAACGCAATGTCACAAATACGAGCATATGGTAACGCTCGGCGCTTGAGCAACCATGTGCCGGATTTCCCAGGGCGGCACAATATAATCCGGCGATCCCTCATGTTAGTGGTCACGGCAACAAGATCATCTTGGGTGGACCTCATAAGCACCTTTCTGACCTTGAACTCATCAGGAACCCTGCCGATGACCGAGTCCAAGCCCGGGAGGGGCAGTGTTGTGTTGGAGAAAGGGTTATGCAACATGTAGCTCCGCGGACCACCATTGGCGTCGGCGTGGTAGACGGCGAGCCAGCTGCCGCTGGCGCCTATGAGCTTGGTGTTTTCGGGGAAGGGGGACCATCTGTGAAGGTAATAGTTGGGAAGGGTGACAAAGGTGCCATCTGAGTGGACGATCCACGGTAGCTGCGGCGTATCGACGTGGTCGTGCATGGCAGAGCGCCACGAGCGGCAGACGGCGCGGAAGCGGGCACGGTCGGCGGGGAGCGGGAGGAGAGCGATGACCTGGCCTAAGAGGTCCGGCGGGAGGTCGGTCAATGTAAAAGGCTGCGAAGTCGACGCCGCCATGGCCGGGTCAACTCGATCGATAAGCTGCTCTCCTCTGCTCTGCTGGTGGTCGTAATCGATCGTACTGCTGCCGCCGATACAAATTTGTGTGGCGTATATGCTGTCAATATATAGGGTAGTGCTGCCGCCGATCTGGAGCCGTGCGTATCGGAATCGGAAAGGAGATCTAATCCGTTCCGGACACGGCTACGTACGATCGTCCCGGATTGCCCGCATCGACAAGGGGAAAGATGAAAGTAAATCCTCCCTCCAAAAAAGGAAAAATAAAAAACAGGGCGAGGAGACATCGTGCAGCTGGAATTGTTCGATCGGCGTACTAGTTGGATTAAGCCAGGTACTCGTTCAATTGAACGTGGACGTGACGCTTCTTTCTCAGGCTATTCTACGTGATGATCATGGTTTTTTCATTGCAGCTGGTACGGTGGGCTTTCGTGGTATGTCTTTTGAACACGGTACACACGTAGACGCTCATACACACACCTCCTTGAACGCATGCACGCATACACTATCAATATATGAGCACCTCCGAGAGAGTCGTTTTCGTTGTGTGTCGACCTTACGGCATGGCCTTTTTCTAACGGGACAGGTGGGGTGTAATAAGCTCAGAGAGTGGTTTTTCTATGCTCCAGCCAGATACACCCCTGCTTGAGCTGAAAACAAAGCAAGACAAATAAATAAAAATCTGAAACATTTAACTTCGATTATGACCAAATATTTGAGTGCCTGGAAAATTGGTGGCCAAATAACATCCGAAGAGCTCTATACAAAAAAAGTGTATACACAAACATATGTGCACTGTTTAAGCAGAATTTGTATTTCATTTATATGGAGATCATTTCATGTTATTTGACCACCAAACTTTGCAAGCACATGAAATATTTGTTCATAATTAATGCCATGACAGATTTTCTTTTTATTTATTTTGATTTTACTATTTAGCATTGTGTGGTCGGACTTGAGTGTGGCCACTATCTTCCCATGCGCTCATGGCCGACATAGATTGCTTGGAGGTCATTGAGGTGGTGAATAAGGGTGGGCACTGGTACGCGTCGGTCCTAAACAAACGGTTTTTAACCCCTTTCCGCGACGGCATTTGAAACTTTCGCCAAGTGAGTGTGTGCGATAGGGTGTTCTTCCCACACGACCAAGAAATCATCGGGGATAGGCCCTCCTGGACCCAGGCTGGGGCCGTGTGCGATCGGGCGAGGCATAGAAACCCAATCATTTCCGTAGTTATGTACATCCCACACGGTGAATCTCAGAAAAACATTTTCGTTCATATGTATATCACACACAGTCAATTCAAAGAATACGTTTCCGTTTTTATGTACATCCCACACAGTCAATTCAGGGAAAACGTTTCCGTTCGGATGTACATCCCACAAAGTTTTATGTATACGCTCGTGTGTGAAAGGTGTAACTATCACACATGCTCTGCCTTGGTTAACTGTTTGCTTTCATTAACTACATCACACACGATTTGATGTATAAAACTGTGTGGCATTGGGCTATGCATCACAAGCGCTTTTACCGCCAGAACCGTTTGCAAAGTTCCATGACCGTCTGTTCTCCTTTTATTTTTGCCTATAATTTATTATTCTAATTAGAAATTTTGAAATATGAAACGTGCAATTCAAATTCTTAGCACAATGGTTCAACAACGAATCCATAAATAAAAGGAGACAATATTTATCATAGACGAATGGTTCAACAACGAATCCATAAATGAAAGGTCTAAAAGAGTAATTTGTTGTGGGCGGGGGGAAAAGACAACACATTACTTATCATCCTAAAGTTCATTGTTGTCTTTGACAAAGTGTAAATAAAGAGCTTAATTTCAATCATCCATTTCTTTCGCATAACAATCTTTTTTAGTTTCCTCACTTGACGCTTGTTCACGAATATCTCATTGCCCCATACGCAAAAGGGATCGAAACGTGGATCAGTACCGCTCATATATGTACCTACAAGCAACCAATAAATGTTAGAAGCTAAACTGAGATTGCACAAATGATGTAAAATACAACTACATATGTTCCTACGTACAAGTTTTTTTGTGAGATTTCAATATGAACTACATACGGATGTATATAGAATTATAGATGTAGTTTAGATTAGAATCTAGATTCACTCATTTTGCTCCTTATGTAGTCTATATTGGAATCTCTAAAAATACTTATATTTAGGAATAGATGGTGTATAAGACATGGGATGCAGCTAGCCTCGACGGCAAACAATAGCATCGCCCATTGTAGCCCTGTATAAGTACATGGAAAGCCAATGTTAACTACAACAGGGTTAACATCCACCAAAAATAGCAAATGGTAATAAAACGGCAGCATCTGTAGTGATATCTTCATTTCAAAAGAGTAGCACGGTAGCAAAGGGACGGATTAAAAAATGAACACAACTGTTAATTGCAATAGGCTTAACAACATCCTAATTCATGTTTTGTAAGTTTGTAGCCATTGAAATACAACTCTTTAAAAATGGATACAACTGTTAATTGTAACAAGCTTAATGGCCATTAAAACCGGTACTGATAAAAATGCAATTGGCGGAGTTAAATATCACACCTAGGTGCTGCCAGAGCAGATAATGGCCCAGTTGTCTGTAAAAAGGTAGGGAAAATAGCTCAAACGGGTTAGGCATGTCTAGTACAACATGCTTAATACATCGACAGTACAAAATATAGCCATTAATTGCAACTGATATTGGTAAGATTGAACTGATGGGTACATACTTGCTAAGTCCTGAGAAGTAGTTGCTGGGGCACTTCATCTTAGCCAGAGCCCGCCCAAAGTCAGCGGCGGCTGTGACGCTCGGATAATCTTGCTAAAATAATCCCACACTAATCAAGCCACGTCATCCCGATTACTGATGCTAAACGTCCGTTAGTTCAAACCGCGTCAAATTAAAATTTAAAATTAATGTCGACAATAAAAGTTTACGAAAGTAGAAACAAAAATGTTCGGTGGGTGCCAAATATTACAAGGGTAGTTATGGTACAGCAATCACATTTTTAGAAAATGGCTAAATAATTTAAACTGATTTAAAACAGAAAAGAAAATAAATAAAAACAAAACAGAAAAAAACTAAAACCTAAAACTAACAGAAAAAAAAGGAGAAACCCCCCTCTGGGCCGTGGCCCAACTGGGCCAACCCCCAGGCCCAGCCGGCCCACCCCTCCCCTCCATAACCCCCCACCAGG